AAAACTCGTCAATCGACAACAAGAATGATCGACTCGTCAAACTACCAGATCTTAGTCAGAAAACTATGATTTTTTCCAAAATCTTTATCAGAAACTCACATCTGCTAAACTTTATGAAGAATTTTTAGGTAAATATGAAAGGGGATTCAAGTTTTTTTGAAAAAAATCAGAGTTCTGACTAAGATCTGTTGGTTTTGACGAGTCGAACATTCTTGTTGTCGAGTCAAAATATCTCGTCCGCGTCTAAAGTTTTTGGGCTAGTCGTTTGCGTGTTTCTCTCTAAACTTGAATCCCCTTTCATGTTTATCTAAAAATTCTTCATTAAGTTTAGAAGATGTAAATTTCTGATAAAGATTTTGGAAAAAATCATAGTTTTCTGACTAAGATCTGGTAGTTTGATCATTCTTGTTGTCGATTGACGAGTTTTCAAGTCAATAATTTACGGAAAACTTGGTAACGTTTGGTCGACCTGTCTCGAAACGACTGTCTCGAAATGACTGGCATTCCAAAAAACTGATGTCACAACAAGCTGTTGGGATGTCTGAGTTCACAGACACAAACAAAAGGAAAAGAATGGAAATAAGATCTAGAGTAATTTTTTTACTTGGCCAATGAAAAGATAACAAGTACAAGTATTTATTGCATAGGTTCTGCCATAGATACTAATTCCATAGATTTCTTTTGTTTTCCTTTCAAGGGCAAAGTAAAATCTGTTTAAGCTCTATTAGTCTACTAGAATGATTTTCCTTGGCCTGCGAAACAAAGTTGACAGTATAGCTAGAGTGATTTTACTTTGCCTGTGAAACAAAGTCGTATAATTAGTGACTAGAGTGGATTTCACGAGTTTATGAAAACCACTCGAGCGTTAAATAAGCCTGGATTTAACAAGTCATAAAGTGCTTCCTTGCCTTTATTATGCTATAACCTGTTAGAAAGTGAAAGAGTACTGTGACATACATAGAGTTGTATATTGATTTACAAATGTGCATCTAAATATTTAAGTCCAAAGAGAAATACATCCAGAATTGATTAGATTCATTCAGATTAAAAGAACATTGATAGCTATCCACAGCATCTTTAAGGAACATCCCTGATGTATCTTTACTATCCACATATATAAACTAAGTAAAAAAATGTTTGAGCTAACTAATAGACCAGTCATTTATTTTTCTAATTATTCCAATTTTTTACATTACAACAGGCTTGACAAGGTACATTTTATCCCCTTTTTCATTAGTAAAGATGGGCGATTTCTTGTAATGTTCGATAAGGGCATCAAGAGAATCGAACGTGCGCTGACCAATCTTATATCCACTATCCAGGGTTTGGATTCGAAAGTGTTTGATCCTGTCAGGAGCCTTCATAGACACAGAAAAATCRCCTCCCTAAAAAAAATGGAGGCAACAGCATTAATTATTGAAAAATATATTAAGAGTAAAATATGAATGACAGCTTGAACATATCATTTAGTTCTCAGTAATCAGTGACTTAAATCTACTCATAGATGACGTGTGCTGTAACGGTGTTGTGTACTTTAAGCCTGGTATTGCAGTTTTGACTGAACTGTATACAGCTACTTAAAAAAAGGTTGAATACTGCATACTGCATGGTGCATTCCAGACTGAAGCGCATTGTGGGTCATAGTGACATTGTCTAAAGTAGTATTAATAATAATAATTAATTATTCTATTTTTAGAGAGAATAAGAGAAAAATATCAAATTCCCTTGGCTGTGTTACCAGCGTGGTTGGTCCTTGTAGTGTACTGGTTAACACATCGGACTAGAATACTGAAGTTGTGGGTCGATTCCCACCAAGGTCATTTGATATTTTTCTCTTATTCTCTATACTTCATTATACACACCGAACGCATAATTCATTACTACTATACTATCCTATTTTTAGTGTATTCCATCTGAAACAATATACTAACTACATGTAGAGTCAATTGCTGTATATTTACTTTTTATTTCAAATTAACGAGAACCACACAATGCCCTTTGGTCTTGGAATGTACTATTCAGTATGCAGTGTTCAACCTTTTTTGAAATAGCTGTATGTAAGTTGAGTTTGTTTAAGCGTTGTTCTCTCTTACAATGAGGGTTTTTTCTGGGTTCTCTAGTTTTTCTCTCTCTCTCTAAAAGTCAACATGTGAGTAGAGTACTGTGTGCTGTAAACAGTGAATGTAGTGGTAGAGTGTGTGGTGCACACATGTAAACAGTGAATATAGTGGTACTTTGTGTGGAGCACACCTGTAAACAGTGAATATAGTGGTAGTGTGTGTGGAGCACACCTGTAAACAGTGAATATAGTGGTACTTTGTGTGGAACACACCTGTAAACAGTGAATATAGTGGTACTTTGTGTGGAGCACACTGTAAACAGTGAATATAGTGATAGTGTGTGTGGAACACAACTCACACAAGAGCCCCTTACAGGGAGTGATGGTTGTAAAATATAAAATTTTTTTTTTWWAATCTAATTTTAAGGAATCACTGCCAAAGTAATGTTCAATAAATTATTAACAACAACACAGAATGAGGATAAAGAAATCCTGGTAATTTAAGAAGAAAATATTATATGAATTCCATTTCATTACTCAGTAATCATTTAAAACAATGATAGAAGAGACTGTTGAAATATTTTCACAGTTTCAGCAGTTTTGAACCTATATAACAAATATGAAGGATACAAGCATAATTTATATTAGGTAACGAACTTTCAGTTATGCTGAATTTATTTTTATAGGTGATCTATGATGTTAATCTATCACAATGAACTTGAAATCCAAAAGAATCTACAATACTGCAGTTTTGAGGTTAGAGAACAATATTTTTATGAGGCAAGATACAACCATGTGAAACAAACTTTCAGCTATGCTGATCACTCTGGTCATTCTTATAGCTGATTTATAATGTGAATCTATCGCAATATTGTTATGATAATATGAACTTGAACTCCAAAACAACCTCAGCCTTTTGTTAAGTTTTGAAATGATAGGAAAATATCATGAACTAGCTTTGGAGTCATGGCAGGGTGTTCATTAAGTTTTGAAATAATAGGATAAGATCATGGTAGTTTAAGCAGGAGAATTTTGCTCAGAGACTGAAGCATTTTTTGACCTCAAGTGAAAACACTTGATCTAGAATATAATACTGCATTGTAATATTTTTTGTAATACTTCAGATTTATTTTGATAAAAATGGCCAAGAACACTGTATTAAAACCTTCTAATTTAAAATCTAAGCATTTTTCCCATAAAATGTTTCTTGAACCACGACTTTACTTTACACATAAATTAGCTATACATTAGACTTTAGCTCTTTACTAGGACTTGAGTTTGTATGCATCAAGTCATTTTTATTTACCCATGCCTATATAAAAAATCATTGCTATAGAGTGTGTGCAACCATGTGACTCAAAATCCCTTGAGATATGAATAACAATGAAACAGCCGCCATGTTAGTTGATCTAACAAGAGAAGCTAATGAGAAATGCTTTGTTATTGACAACCAAGATGGGGGGGCTATGACGTAACATGCCCCCCTCCCAGTACATAATGGGTGGCAAATATATTATTATTTCATTCAATTTTTTTGAATGACTAAGTTTGTCTATCATGCTGCAATAGACTTTTTCGATGATGGCACCAATCTCAAATAATAACAACAATTTCAATAACAAATAATCTAGAAAATTTATACATACCCGAGTTTCACTTTCTCGTAAGAGAAAATCTCCATTATCACCATGTATACCCAATAGCTTTTCACCATTTTCTCTTGAAATCTGTCCCCAGAACCATTCCTCATTTCCAAATGAGAGAGCTTTGTGTGATGGGAGCAAAACTTTTTGGAAAGCCTGAGCTGAGTCATTTGGTGAGAGTGGCAGCTTTTTCGTAGGATGTGATTGAGAAGGAGGTCTTGCTGGAGCATCTTCTGACAAAGTCTTAACATAGTTCTTGGGTACAAGCCCAGTTTTTCCATCACTTTTCTTGGCCTCCCACCAGTCAGGATCCCCTTCTGGCTGCCTTATAATGTCTAATATTTCATCTTTTTCAAAGTTGAGTTCTTCTGGATTAGAGGAGCTAAACGGATACAAAGCCACAACTTTAAAATTCGGATTCTCACTCAAAGTATCCTCTTCGGCATAATTGGAAGGAAACCACCCAACATTATTACCACTTCGTCCTTTCCACCAACCATCGTGTTCTTTTTCAAGAACGTCAATTAAATTTCCCTTATTGAGTTCAAGTTCATCTTTGTTTCTTGGTTTATAACTGAACTTGGCTTTAACTTGACATATTGCAGCTTTAGTATGAGGAGGAATAAGGACAGATTCTGGTGTACAATATTGATTCCTCTCATTGTCATAGCCATTACTGTCAGACTGACCCTTCTTTGCTCCTTTACCAAATATATTCTTCAATATTTGTACAGGTTGCTTTTTAGGCCCTTTCCTATCAACATAATTTGAAGGGACATAACCAGATTGGTTTCTCTCRTTTTTAACTTTCCACCAGGTTTGAGAATCATCAATAATGGTCAGTTTTTCATTTTTCTTGATAGAAAGTTCCTCTTTCTGTTGAGCATTATATTCATATAATGCAATAGCAATGGACTCGTCCCCCATCTGAAATGAAAGTAATACATTTTTATTAAGACTAAATTAAACAACAAAGAGGAATGTATTGAAATCCAACAAGGCTATAACAAACTGTTAATGCGTGACTTTTTTGGTCATTATTAACAGATCACCACTGAATGAAGGGAGGGTGATCTCTCCTGAAACGTCCGTTACTAAAACTAATTTTGACTCTGTTATCTGATATCTTCTATATTAGTACATTTTTAGTTAATTATATATATATATATATATATATATGCTTTAAGCATGTTGAGAGCCTGATTAAGATGCATTAACAACATGCAGGTATACAAAAACAAAAAATGAAAAACTGGTTAAAAATAAAATATTGGAAAGAATAAAGGGGTTCCAGAAATCATTTTAAGGTCAGCAAAAAAAACAGCTTACAGTGTATAAATAGCCCTATAAATTTCTTTCTACGACATGTTTAGGGAAGTATCATGCCTTCAAAATAGTGGTTTTACTTAGACTAACCTTAGAAAGAAAAAGTTACTTTAAAAAAAATTGAAATAAGATCTACATAGTGACCTCTACTAGTCTACTAACTATTTCACACTACACCACTTCTCGATAATATTATAAAAGCACTTTACAAAAACAATAGTCTAAAAAACATTATAAATTATGAACAAACCTAATACCAACACAGCCTAAGTTACTTATTTATAACATTCGACGAATTCCAAACATTCTCATACATCTAGCCGCGTGTAGAGGAATAAAGAAAATGACTTCAACTACGTTACAAATATGTTGGCTTGTGTACTATAATAGTCTGCACGAATTTTGAGAGAAAAATCGAGTTTTGTGGAATGAGAATATAATAATAATCTGGTTTTCATAGCGTGAATAAGATAAGGTTTTTCAACGACAAGCTGTGTCTACGCACCATATAAAGTAAACACAAGACAAAATATTAGAAGACATGGTGCTGTGTTATAATCAAACATAATCGACCGCCACATTGCATGCCATGACCACAAGCCCCTGCCTTTCTTGTACTTCGTATGCCATTTATAATCTTATCTTAGAACCTTATATCAGTAGGGAATAGGGGTTTCAAGCCTGACTTTCGCACACACTCTTTCTACACGTAATTCAAAGAAAAAGCACAAGAATTAGAGGAGTGTCCATTGACCACATTCTTTTCTAGCTTCAGCGAGAGCGTGTCCACTTCTCGGTGAAGTTAAGACAAAAGGCATCACATTTCTGTATTGAGAGTGACCCTGCCTTTATAGGGCTTCAAAGAAGCTAAGATGTGATTGAAAATATAGGTAAGAAAGTTTAAAATATCGTGGTAGGAATAACAATAAAGTCAGTCAGCAGTGACGACGTGGTTGGTGAAGTTGTGAGTATTGAGAAATACTAGCTCACCTTTCTCGGCTTTTTGCATCGGTAAACGACTCGTTTTAAGGACACCAAGGTTCTTGGTTACTCTACATGTTTTCTTCTACTGTATTTGATCTCTTAGCTGACCATACACCGTCGTCTTGTGGTTTTTTTGGGGGGGAGTTTAACAGAGTAAAATGTTTCTTCCCCTGTACGTTTGATGGTGTATTCGAGCGGTTTCCTGTTGCAATACACCCATATCACGTGACCTATAAAACGACACAGGAAGCCCAGTCTTGTTTTAATGGCCCAGTGTGCCTTGCGTGCGCAGCAGTCAAAGCCGATTGAAATGAAGGAAAGAAGAGGAGATAAATGGAAAATGATAAATGAAATACAAAGAAATACAAAGAAAATTAGGAAAAGCGGTAGTTGACACTCTCCAAAATCGAAATCGGGATTTTTTAATTTATATAAATACGAATAAATAGGAATGAAAAGGAATAAATAGGAATTCCACCAATTAATCGATCAATCAATCAATCAATCCTAATCAATCAATCACTTTGTTTTTACGTGAAGGATACACAGTTAGAATCACAGCTTGTGCACAAAATTCCTGAGGTACCGACTGATTATTTTTGATTGACGGCAGCGAAAACCCAATTTCAGCGTGCAACTAGCTCGCGTGTTTTTCCATATTCTGCGAACTCGGAAGTCGGTAAGAGAGAACTTTATTCACTGAAGTTTCAGACCGCCTAAAAGTCTTTCAGCAGACTAAAAAGATTAATATCAATTCAATTGTTAATTAATTGCGTTGAATTTTCCCACGGTGTTTTTTCGATTTTTGCCGCTTTTTAAGCTTGGGAAAGTTTTGGCGGGATGGTTTCCCATGACGAAGACTTTGTGTTATTCCCTTGAGAAGTCTTTCAGCAGACTAAAAAGATTAATATCAATGCAATTGTTAATTATTTGCGTTGAATTTTCCCACGGTGTTTTCGATTTTTACCGCCTTTTTGGCTTGGGAAAGTTTTGGCGGGATGTTTTCCCATGATGAAGACTTTGTGTTATTCCCTTGAGAATAAGGCACCGTTCACTTTTTATCAGGGAGGGGGGGGGCGGTGGAAATCTGGGGGGGGCATGTAAAAAATCCGGCTTATAGAGAGGGGGTCACATGTAGAAGAATCAATGTCAAAAGGGGGGGGGGGCATTCAGGTATAGAACAGGAAGGGGCCAGCAGATGTCAACAGCAATATAGAGCGGGGCTAGTTTTTTTTGTATGGACTCTTGCTGGAATTCAACCGCCCCCCTCCCCGATAAAAAATGAACGGTCCCTAATATTCATGTGTTTTCTCGTGCACAAAGACTTGATACTCTAGAGTGAGAAAACATTGTGCCCAAGGTAAATATAGTTTTACAGAAGTTTTAGAGCTGCGCGACACCGTATAATGTAGAGGATATATGCAGCCGCATATTCACATGGAAAAATTCGATGGAAATTTCGAGCTCCTGTGAATTTTTAATAAGCAAAGTAAAAGATACCAGGTCGAGGACGTCCACGTCTGCGACTGTGATTTTCTGGCTGGGAACGCTATCCACAATGTCGTACTCAGACCCCTTATTTCTTACTGCGCATGCTCAACGAATTAATTTATTTCGTCAAGCATGCGCATTAAAAAAGTATAAGCTCTAGGTACGAGATTGCGCTAGCCAGCGAGTAAGGGTTCTTCTTACATTTTATATTCACGTTAACAAGATCACAAACAGGCGTGCATTGGTGCTTGTTACATAGTAATGACATCCAAACAATTATTTGTTAACACAGATCGCTTCAAATGCAAACTTTAAACGGAATGGGAAATGTCCTCAGTTCTTCCCTAACCTTAGTATGCGTCCTTTAGTTTGGTCGACCAGCTGCCCTCCCCCCTCCCCCCATACCTTCACCCCCACCCACCCCTGGTGACATTCCTCAAACCCCAGTGTTTCAGTGCATGACGCCGTTACGAATCATGTACATTCGAGCTAGAAAAGATATATTTATTCTGACATTTAATGCTGTTAATTTTGTTCGTTTAGTATTGAATGTTATCATTTCTTATGAAATTTTTTTTTTTTTTTTTGGAATATGATTGTATTATATTTTATCTGAGGTTCATTATAAAAAAATTACCCAGCTTTGATATCCTCATTAAAAATATTGTACTTTAAAATCTTCACTGATGTTACATTAACATATCGTTATTCAATGGCTTGTTCAACGGTTCTTACTATCAATATTGGCCTTATCATGCATGCTTCTGTAGCCTGCGCAGCGAGTTACGTTTCTGATGGAGGAAATGAAGAATGGAATGTGCAATTGAATACATCGAATCAGTGAGTTCTAACTATTGGAATTGTCCCCCTTCCCAACACTCCCCCCAATTATCATGATATTCATCTATGCTAGCCATTGTCACCAAGGCAACTCCGGAATGCGCATGCTCAGATAGGACTCAGATAGCCACAGAGTTTGTTACGTTTATAATTCGAGGGTTTTCTCTGATTCTCTATCGGCAAACACAAAACCCAACAAGCTAAATTCTTATTAATTTTTTGAGTTATCCGTGCCTTGGCTTTGACCAGCCACGGCTCAACGAGTTCTCCGCGTGACCTGACTTAGATCAGCCCAAGTTTGTTTCAGGGTTCGATAAAAATGATGACTTCCTCATCCGTTATGTTATCGCGCGCGGTTAGTATCAAGCCTAGATATAAGCATATAAATATACATATAAAACACTAAATGACTGAAGACTTACAATGAATTGTACATTAAAAAGCTCTCTTTTTATCGCGAATATTTAAAAAAGGCAAATCACGTGACAAAAAAAAGACTTATTAGCACTCCTGATTGATTTTCGCTGTTTGTCGAGACTGAAATCTTAGAATTCTGTCTGACTATTGTTTTAGATTTAGCAATAAATGTTGTGGTAACATTATAGATGCCACTGGAAAGCGAAACAATTTTGACACCTATCGATATCGGTTGAATCGTAAATGATATCAATCGAGTGAAAAATACTGAAAGCATACTTCTATAATCGAACTCGTTTGTTTTTGAAAGTGAGCTGTTTAATCTGTATAGGATGTTCTCTTTCTCTCTTCATAAAACGTGTACTCAAGAGCTACGAGTTCCATAAAAAACCCCTCGGTTTTGGCATAAAGATTGTTTAATTGTTATTTTTTTGGTGAAAATAAATATTATTTTTTTGTTTGTTGTAAAGTGGAGTCAGTTTAAAACTTCAATTATGTAATTAAGTTTACTGTTTAATTAGTTGTGAAGAGACAAAGGAAAAGGTAAATGTGTTAGAATGAATGGTTTCATGACATCAAATTTGAATAACAATAGAATAACTGTCGGTGACAGGAATTAATGGCAACTAAAGAATAGCTCATTAAAAGAATACTATAAGATTTGTCCAAAATGCCGCTCTCAAAACTATTCTACACTCGAAAGGTTTTAGTCACTGCGTGAGGAATCAATACTCACGTGAAAATCACCTTTTACAACACGGTTCCAAACTTGGCTGGGCAAGCATAATCAAAACTGTGACGCAAAAGCCACTTTCAGTTGAGCCTTGCACTAGTTGTTTCTCTTTACTAATGAGTGATAAGGATGGCGGAAAGAGAACAAACTCAGAGACCCAGTCTATCATTCTCTATCGATAATATTTTGAGAGATGATTTTCCAGGCTCGTCAAGACAAAGCAGAACGGTTCCTTACTTGGTCCAGACGAGAAGTTTAAGTTTGCCCCAGCTACGAGCTTCCCAACAAGTCATTCCATGCCAATGTTTATCTTCCCGCTACAGACCCCCTTCTGTATACTTGTACAACCCGCAAGATGTCAAGAAGGAGACGGAATTTTTGTCTAGAAGTCCGGGGAAAATATATTCAGAGATGGGGAGGAGTTCTGTTCGATGTGAAGTTGGCAAGGCTTCTAGTGAACAGCAAGGTAGTTCGAGCAAGTCAAGTTATTGCAAAGGTATGCAATTTAGATTAGTAATTTAATGTCGTTAAACAAAGTGATATACTCTTGAAGAGTGGTGTTTAAGCAGGTTGCTCACTTTACACATGTAAAGAAATAATGCAATATATTACTGAATTAAAACTTGGAATTCAACGCAAGATTATAAACAGAAAAAAATAGAACTGTTTTAGCTTCTTAAAAGGAACTTGAAAAATAATGAATAGACTAACCGAAAAAGAAAGTTGATAAAATAAAAACAAGTGTACATGATAATGGTATCAATATACGCGGAGAGCTAGTACAAGTTTTTAAAGCTGCCTTTAATCAACCAAGTCAAGCGCGAACACACCTTGGCCGAATGGGGAAAAAAATCTTATCCAAACCCGTAACTTCCCTCTCAAATTCATACGTTAAGCCTCAAAAAATATTTCCTCCACGACTTCTTAAAACATGCATGCCTAGTGTTTGATGAAACCTTTTTTAACTTGTTAAAAATTATAATTAAGTTAAAATATGTGAGGAAAAACTCAATTGGCTTTAAATTCTGCTTGTGAAATTGAAGCATTAATTAAGTAGACATCGATTTTCAATTTGAATTTAACTTCAGCGCACTAATTTCTGGGCCCATGAATTAGCCCAAAAGAAATCTTGCATAGATTTCTCGAAAAAAACGAAATTGCTTCTCCGTTACTATTTTACATACTATATATACATTATTCAAGTGTAACAATTCAGTCTTATAGCCGAGAATCTCTAATTTTATTGAGTTAATTTGTCAAATTGTGTTGGAATGATAAAGCTGCTTACTTGCTTCGGAAAACTGGGTTTACTAGCTGAAACCAAAACCTGTATATAACTAAGCCGTTATGTTATTTTGAGAAGAAGTGGTTAGAGTCGCGCTTCGACAAATGAAAGATTAATATTTTTCAAGAGCAACAAAGTAGTCAAAGAAGAAGAAAACATTTGTTTTCCCGAATTTCCTTGCGTTTTAACTTTCCATAGATAAATACGTCTTTACAGTAGAATAGGTACTCAGTAATTAGTGTCATCATTACAAGTCGTGTTAAACCACTCTTGCTAATGCTAAAACGGAACAATTCATTTTCTTGTCATTTACAGAGAAATCCTCAAACGACGAGCGGAATAAACAAGAAAAAGACGACGACCAAACAAACAGCGCCAAAAATGACCAACAAAAAGAGAAGAAAAAGAGATTCCGAAGCCATTTTTCTCAACTTCAGCTGCAGTACTTGGAAAACATTTTCGCGCGCCAACACTACTTGAGTCGCGATGAAAGAACACTGCTGGCCGGCGCACTGGAAATGACAGAGCTGCAAGTTCGAAACTGGTTTCAAAATAAACGTTACCAGAAAAGACACCGAGAAATCCAAGCCTTACAGAAAGTTGGTAAACAAGTTCCAGTTCAAGTGCTAGTGAACGAGGGAAGTCCGTTAATCAATACAATTAGACATGAACTCAGGTATTAGGTAATAATGATAATGATAGATACATTCCGAAATATTTTGAAGAAAACAGATTAAAAGAGTTAAAAGGTATGTTGTTATGTTAAGTTGTTGTTTTTGAGGTCAAAGACCTGTAATTTTCAGTTTGGTAAAAGCACAATAAACAAAGGCGTTTTAGAAGAATTAGATTCGTTTCACGTAACTATAAACAAAAGATTTGTACGTTCGTATGATCAGTATTTGTTAGTTATCAAATAACGAAATAAAAGATGTTGCAGTTGTTATTTTCTTCGTGTCTTTTCACCCTTAATTCTTTTAGCAATTACTCCTTTCTTTCTATCTCCTTTTACTTCATTTGTTACTTCTTTCCTTCTTTCTTTAGCTCATTCTTTCTATTTTACTTTCTTTCGTTGCTTTATTTCTCCTTTCCTTAATCATTTCCTTATTTTCTTCGATCTTCAGTTCCAATTATTCCGTTCTCTTGTTCTTTCCTTACTTCGTTCTTTCTCTTTTCGTATCTTCAAGTTCCTTCCGTTCTTTTCTTCCTCATGTGCATGGTCTCCCTCTCTTCCTCTCTTCCTCTCTTGTTCTTTACAATTTTAGATTCTTAGCATATTTTAAAAAATATGCACAAAAATACCGTTGCGTAATTTGAATATATCTGTTTCCATTTAGTATCACTTGATTAGGCTAAAGCTCTGTAATCAAAACAAATCCTTGAAAAATTAGTATGTAGCTCTAGGTATCATTAATTTACATGATGCATCTGAAAAAAGTCCCAACGACACTGAAAGTAATTAAGACGTCCGCAGTGACTGAATGATACTATAGGAAAAACTATAAACCGATTTTTAAAAACCTTATACTTATGGTTTTAATTCAGAGATTCTTAACAATGTCTACTACGACAATCTACGACACATTTTAAAAGAAAAGTTCCAGATTATTGAAGATTACAAAAACAGGAAAACAGGTTTTTTTTTTCACAACTGAGAATCCCCATTCACATCCTGTACAGCACAACTTCCGGATTAAGTAAGGATTTATAGTCCCCTTCACAGTTCCCTGCGCCATTTCGAAAGATAACCGCGCGTGCCTGTCCACGGCCACCTAAGCGAAAACGGCTGGTGACCTTGCAATGTCATATAGAGACAGGTGAATGGCGTCCAAGGCGTCTTTATAAGCTTTTCATATTTTTTATTGAATATATAATTGTCTAAGGCTTCTTAATATGTTTTTCATAGTTTTTTGTTATAATTCTCAAGCCACTTAGATTCAGTTCCTACCAAAATTTCAGACTCAAAGTATTTCCTGCAACTAAAGCCGACATGATTCGAAAGAGATTCCAGAGTAAGTCCAGCTTGCTGTACATCTATTTAGGAGCTCATGGTACATTCCCTTAAATTGCATACTCTTAGTTCTTCAAAGTCATGCTGGTTTAAATTATCTCAGGACTTTATGATGCCATCCAGAACTCCATAAATGATAATACATGCGATCGCTCCGTTGAATCTAGCCTGCAAACCTCCGCAAGAACCATGCAACCGATAAAGCTTCCTTCATTGTCATAAAACTACAGAATTAAATTAATTTCCATTCAAATTCCAACTATGAATTTTGCTAGGGCCTGCAGTTTGATCATGTCCAGAAAGACCCTGGAAACCCTCAATAGAATAGTCAACTGAATCCTCGACAACTGACATGGCTTGGCGGAAAGATAACGCAGCATGAATCTGGGAATCGGAAGCGCATTGACGTTTATAAACAGCGTAAATGCATGATTGGAGAAAGTGGCATCTAGGGTGATTCTAACGCTGGACTGCTAGCGGGTCAGCAATCCTTTTTTAATAGGACAATAACATGACTTTTGGAGGGCATATTGTTTATCTGTGGCCCGAGTAGAATCATTTGCGCCTGAGCGTAGCGAGGGTGTAAGCGTTTTGCTGCAAGGGTCACAAATGAACAATATGCTCAACCAAAGTCATGTTATTATCATTATCATCAATATACTAGGCCAAGTTAAGCAAATTTTCAAAGTTTCGGAGTTGAATCTTTGGCAAGCTGCAAACGTATTTGCGGCCCACCAAAATCCATTCATCGCCCACTGGGCGCGCTTTTTCAAGAGGGCAGTTTGTTGTTTGGCCTTGTATATTGATGATAATATTATTTTAAGCATTGGTTTCTAGCTTTGACTTGCTCAAGGATAGATGGTAGTAGCTCACATGTTTTCAGTTCGACCCCGTTCGACCCCTGCTGTAGTACTATTTGTGGTTAGCGAGGCAAGTTTGGTTTTAACCCGCCAGTAAAGGAAGGGGGAAAGGTGGCCGACTTTTTGACAAGATTTTTTCAAATTTCTTAAGATTATAGAGATTTTTAGTCTGGATACCCTTGCATCAAGTGACACTAATATACACTCCCCCACTCCCCTCCGGCCTGTACCCATACCTTCCCCCTCCATCCACACTTCCGGAGTGTAAATAAGGGAAAAAACCCTGCATGTTGATATTTCTTTTGATAATTTCTGGGAAAACTGTCAGGTGTTGGAGAAGAATTATTTTGGAAATCCTGAAGGTAACAAGGTGAAATGGGTCTTCAAATGACATCCTTTATTTGGGGGGACGATACATGTCACTTGACCGGGTTAACCGAAGAAAATGTATGACTCGTGAAATATTTTTTCCGTGTTAAGTAGAGCTAAGACATTGAGTTCATGATTACTGGGTTGAATCTCATTAAAAGATTTAATTATTCTGAGAATACTAAGAGAGAATTCTGAGAAAAAACGGAATATGCAACGTGACTACGAAAAGTAACACAATATCCTTGGCTTTTTACCGCATGATTTTAAAGCTTAAATTCGTCTAGTTCGCGTTTTTATTTTCGCTAATAACAATTAATGATAAGATGCATTTCTATGTAGCACAACAAGATAGAAGCTTTTAGTTGTAATGCTCTTAAATGGAAAATAGCTTTCGGCTTTTACGTAGGATTCCAATTTTGGAGCGTGACTTTTAAAACTCAAGGAAAGGGGAACCCCCTATCATGACATCACGCGATTCAGTCATGCAATTAGTCATAACCCAAGGTCAGAAAACATGGTGATGATCGTCCTTTTTGATTTCTTCTACCAGTATTTTTGCTTCTAAAATGATGCATTAAATTTTGAATAAGTTGGAACTTTATGTATTTTTCTTTATTTTATTTAATTTAAAAAGGGATAGCTTTCTAAAAAAAAGTTTTAAAAAAATTCAGTGATTATACCAGTACTAATGATGACTATAAATATGGACAGACTCTGACCATGTCTATATAATAGCTGAGCTTTGTATAGTTGCATATTATTGTCTGTGTTTTATTATTTATGATTTGAGAAGGATTTATTTATCACAAACTGCAAACTAGTCTAAAATATGAAAATAAAACCAAAGGCAATGAGAAATCCAGTGTACACGAATAGAGCTGACTCATCACTGCATTCATGATCCGTGTGATCATCACAAGGAGCTGTATAAAACATAGCAAACATTTCACCCAAACACTAGTCGTTTATAACATCATGTCCAACGAGAACTCTATCACACAGTCAAGGAATCTACCTTTTTCCATAGAAAATATCCTTAGAGAAGACTTTCCACCAAAATCGAGGTTGGCATTTCCTCCAAAACATTATTATTTGCCAGAAAATCACAAGGATGGTTGTCCTGCTGCACATAAAGGGGTGACGTGGATACCCTTAGCAAGATTTCACCCTTATTGGCCTTTATATTATGGACAACTTATGTGTCTACCAACATATCGGGCTATACCAACAGAATCGAATACTCTAGACAGTGAAAAGAAAGAGGTCTTGGAGACATGTTTGGACTGCAATCCTAGATCTAAGGAACACACTACGACAAGGATTTCAGAGAGTCAAGGTAAGGGCAAAGTTGACTCAGCATTTTTTTTAATTTGCGACAAGACAAATACATCTGACGAAAAATATTTTTTTATTTCTCTTAACAGTTCAGTTACGTTGTTTTATAAATACACACGTACAGAAAAAAATATCAAAAGATCTAGAGTTTTTGCCATTTATTTGAAATGATTTGAAATTTAAAAGAGAAATGACAAAATAGGAAAACTACGAATTGATATTACTAGGAAATTCATGCAGAGACCGGAAGTCAGATTCTTTTAATGGAATAAAACTAATAATATTAGAACGAAAGAATTACTAAGAGCCACATGTTGGAAAATTGCACTTTCTAATGATCTTTATGGGAATTTTCTGTCCATTGCTTGAGCAGAGCGGCGCATCACTACGGACACCAGGGCCCGGTTGTACGAAGGGTGGATTGCACTATCCGATCCGTCGGATAAATCATTTACTTCCAGTAATTAAATAAATTTATCGAATAATAGCATCTACTTGTTCACTGGATGATGATTTATCCGTTGGATAGTGCTATTTAGCCACCCTTCGTATGACCGGGGCCCGATCTATCACAAGGCTTCATCAGTAGTTTTATGCCCTACTTTATATTTTAAATTTTTTTGTTGTTGTATTTATTGCATTGTGTATTGTTTATTAAATTAAACAATTGAACTTCTAAAACGTTTTATTCCCTTTTAAGATGAAAACATCGAGCAAGAAGAAGTTAAAAGTTGCGATTCTGCAGACGAGAATCCAAGTGAAGACAAGGAATATCAATCAAGAAAGAGAAGAAGCAGAAGTCAATTTACCCCGATGCAACTGAAATATCTGGAAAAATATTATTCAAATCATTCGTATTTGAGCCGTGATGAAAGAACTGTACTTGCTCAAGCACTGAACATGACGGAACTTCAAATTCGAAACTGGTTTCAAAATAAACGTTACCATAAAAAGAACAAATTGAAAACAAAGTAAAATGTAGTCATGGAAGCGGGAGCAGTGTCAGTACTGATCTAAACGAGAAATCATCATTGAAATAGGCTTGGAAAGATATATGCGCAAAAGCTGGCGGGAATTCCAAATTCTGTGACGTAGTCAGTTCCCAGAATTTACAATTTTCCAGCCTTTTCATATGACCTGCATGCTGTGCGATAGTCATGGTCACGTGGATTTGTATGTAAGGTTCTCTTACGGCTTGAAAAGTAAACATGATATCACTTCACAACTATGGCTGTTAGTTATAGACATCATGTGAACCCAAACTGCAAGACTCCTGGTTACGGTGTAATGGAGGCATGAGGAATGGCACGTGCTTTTAAGTGGGCAGTAAACATTACGTCAAAGCTAATTTGGTCTGATAGACATGTTGTTATGCAAATGAATAGAATGATTTTATAGTAGAGTGTAAATAATATATCCGTGAAACACTAATTATTAAATTGTTCAAAATGTAGCATGTGCTAGTTAAACAAAAGAAAACAATAGAATTAGTATAGAAGTGTAAGTTAGTATTACTAATATTTCACGGATATATATATTGTTTGTACTCTACAAAAATTGTTAATATTTATGATATTTATATTTATATCCGATTCTATTAAATTGTTCATATTATTCTACCTATTTTTCGCGGTATCGTTTTTAAGAATTTATGCCTGTGAGTAATGTCGTCCGTTATTTCACATAGTTAATTTCCCCAATGTCATTAGGCAGGGTAATTACGCATCAACAAATCTAGCAAAGCATGCGCATCTAATTTCGTATAATACGAAGCAATKCGTTTCATTTTTAGTTCAATATAATCTTATAGGAAAGTCTGAAGAAACGATTGGTCCTGCGAAATCTGGTTCTATATACGAAAATTTGAAATCCTTAAATTTCAACAATACAACCACAGTTGAAACGACCTGTGGTCTGATCAAAGTCAGAGCACGGCTAAAACTTACAAATTGGAATTTAGCGTGTTAGGTTATGCGGAGGGAGGAAACCAGGGGAGCGCGAAGAAAACTCTCCAATGAAGAGAGAGACCCAACAAGACCACAGACAGAGGTGAGAGGCGAGCGCACTGACTGCTAACACCACTAGCTGAATACTAAATGACAAAAAAACTTGGCCAGCAGGAAAGACCGTTTTCTCAAGGCTGCTTGCGCATTCAACTTGAAGGGCCAACTTGATGAGTATTATTTTACATTGCTATGAATTATAAATTATCTCTCGTCTTTAAATATAAAACTGGTATCTCACTTATGCTGAATTTGCGTTTTTCAGTTTTGTGGCCCGTCAAGCTGGATACACACGCAACATTGAGAAAACGGTTTACTATTTATCATATATAATGATATCTTGATTTATAAGATTTTGATTGAATGTATTTTCTTTGGCCATGTACCAATGTACAAATTGTACACGGTGGCCTTTCAAATGTAAGCACTCGCTTACTCGAGATTATAATGTATTATTGAGATATAGATATAGTTAAGATATATAGTTTTGACTTTAACTCTAATAGTTGTGACTTCAATTCTTTTGTTTCATAACACAAATAAATAAAATGTAAAATGTAAAATGCAATATATACTCCCCAGTCTTAGGAGCCAAAAATGAAATAAATCCCCAGCCTCTAACAACCCCTAAGGAACGTTGTGGTCCTTTCCCTTGGCAGGCCTTTGGAAATCATTTCACATGTCGAGATTATGAATTTTCAAAAATCAAGAAATTCTATCAAGCACCCTCCCCCCTCCCTTTCTAATGTAAGCCGTGGGCTCTGTAGTGAAGAATATACACGATTATCAGTACATTCACCCCTTCCTAAAGATTAAGCCTATCAATGGGATGACTTCCCCGCTGAGAGCGTCTCAGTACAATGGGGGCCTGTTTACTTTCATGGGTAGTTCCGTGATTGGCACCGTTGTCAGGTAAGAGTGCTTCAGCGGGCGGCGTTGTTGCAGGTTGGACTTCAGCC